TCCGATTTCACGACCAGAGGGCCTAATTGCAATCGAGCAGAAACAAAACAAAAAATCTATATAATGAAAGAATGCCTATGAAAAAAAGTATACTAAAGAGGACAACAGACCCGATTTACAAAAGGGCTAATAAAGAATATTAAAAATAAATTATACAAAAATTATATGAAAAAGTCCTACGGAAGAAAAACTTACTAAATACATGTTATTTGGAAATAAATTACAGTTATTAATACGTAAATCCAATCGTCAGTACTATCTTTAAAAAAATAAAGAATCTAAAAAATAATAAAAAAGAAACAATAAATAATATTACTGAACGAAATAAAAACTATGACATATGATAGAATTTAAACGAAACTGTAGGGAAAAAAAACATGACCCCCAAATTATATCAAATGACTTTAATAAAATTTTTGTCAACGTCGGTCTTCAACTTGCATAAAAAATAAATAACTCTGGTAAAGAACACCATAATTAGGGGATTGAAGGACCCTGTCATGGATGGTATTTTCTTAACACCAATTATAGAAGAAATAATGAAATTAGTAAATAAAGTCGATAAAACAAAAGCCCTGGATATTAAAATATTGAGAACTAGTGGGGTAGCCGTGTCTACTGTTTATGAAAATATTAGTAACCTAAAAGTGAAATGAATTGCGAAAAAAGTTAGTAAACCCCTTGCTACTATTTTCAACTTATCATTATCAAAGGGCTTGGTTTCTGATAAATTAAAAATAGCCAAGGTCATACCTATTTATAAAATGATGGTGTAGATTGTTATTCAAATTGTCGACCAGTCTATATTATTGCCTTTTTTTCAAAAATACTTATATAGATACCTGGAAAAGAATTGTATACTGAATGATAAGCAATTTGGTTTCAGAATCACTCGACTTATATAGCCATAATCGATTTAGTAGGCGAGATAAATGAGGCAGTAGACCACAATAAAACCACAGTTGATATTTACTTAGATTTGTCTAAAGAATTTTACGCTATTTATCATGGTATGTTGATGCATAAACCAGAAAATTATGATTTCTGAGGAATTGTATTAAAGTGGATTAAAATCTATTTATTTAATAGAAAGCAATATGTATCTTACAATTTATGTAACTCATATCACAAAAACACAATCTATATAGTACCACAAGAATCGATATTGGATCCACTTTTGTTTATATAATATGTAAATTATATTGTTAACACCTCACCAATACTTGAATTTATATTATTTGCGGACGACACCACAATATTCTACTCGCACAAGGATATTAAGTTTGATCCAGTCAATAGAGAACTTGAAGAATTAGCAAATTGGTTGAAGGCAAATAAATAATCTCATAATACAAGAAAAACTAACTTTATGATTATGGGGGAGACTTCATAACACTGCTAAGAACAGTGAACACATCAACATCATATTAGGAAGATACGTGTCTGGTTGAGGTAGATAAAACTAAATTTCTTGGTGTTTTAATTGATGAAAATCTTACATGGAAGCCCCATATTGCTTATTATTGAGAAGACAATTGTCAAAAATGTAGGTATTTTGAAAAACCTCAAACAATTTTTACCTAAGTATATATTACGCTCTTTTTATAGCACTCTCATTTAGCCATATATAAATTATGTTGTTCTTGCTTGAGGAAGTACATACAAGACATACCTTGAAACAAATTCAAATTACAAAAACGTGATGTAAGAAATTATATATAAATTTCCCACTTTTTAAATCATATAAATCCATTATTTACTGGTCTGAATATTCTCACCATTTATGATATTTTTTAATTTGAATTGGATGTTTTTATGTACAAACACTATGAGTCCCGAAACTTTAGCGCGGTAAAGAACGAGTGTTGCGCGTTGGAAACTAGGGACGCCATACTGTAGGAGTACATGTTTTTAATGGAGAGCGTCCATTTAAAGTTAGGAAGTTGAATACACCGTTTTACTATGCCTTAATTTAGCTGTTGTTGGACTGGTATGTACATGATTTCTTGTGGAATATATAGTTTTAATGTTGATATGAAAAGTACAGTAATATTATTTTGATTTGGAATGAGAAGCATTCCATCGTTGTTTTGTGCTAGACCACAGGCTGCAACATGAGTAGGCAAGGAGTCAGTCTAACTAATGCATGTAGCCTTTACGTATTTTATCTTTATATTTGTTGTTCCTGTTTATAATATTATTGCGACTGTGTACAGTCATAATTATAGAAGAACACCGTTTGATTATTGAGCTATAATCATAAGTCTAAGCAATTATTTTATTAGTAATGGAGTGACGGTTTGATAATAAGCAATAAGCCTATGTAATACATCGCATGTTAACATTTGATGATAGACGTTCGCCAGTGACTCGTTACGGCTGACTGCACAAATGAATATTTATGAAATCATAGGATAGTCTTATACCATTGGTATTGTCGAGGTGCATTGGGTTTCTTATTGCCTAATTTAATTGTTTAATCATTGTTTTTTTTTTTACAGTATAATACGTCTTGATGATCTTGATGACAGTTGATAAATATATACCAAAAGGCTTAAGGTGTTGTTGTCGAATATCATCTAGTCAGTAAAATACGCTCGACGTAACAGTAAAATTACATAACCGCATTCTGTTGTAGTGTTCTACCTTTGGTCCAAGTAAGCAGAAGTAAACCGGATTTTGAGTTATAAATTTATAGAGCTAACATGGCCAGCGAAGAAGTAGATAGAGTCAGAACATTACAACTAAGGCGTAGAAATGGAAAGGGTCTTCTCACCAGGCAATTAAATGCATTAAAATTAGAAATTGAGGAGGGAGAATACGTAAATATTGTAGAAGAAAGGCTGCAACGATTTTCAGCAGCCTATGAGAATGTAGAAGAAAAGCATGCAGCTTTAATAGAGTTAGTGGAGGATGAGGACACTTATGAGATGGAAGAGGAGTGGATGACAGCCTGTCAGCTTCAATACATGCAGGGAATTAAGGCAGGAAAAGGTTATATTAAAGAGCAAAAGAGAACTCCTAGTTGATATATCTGTGGTTGTCGCTGATGAAGCCAATTTTGATGAAGCCGTTGCTGATGAAGAAGTAGCCGATGAAGAAGTAGCTGATGAGGTTGATGTGTCTGTTGTGGCCGATGATAATAGTGATGGTAATGTTAGTAATTCAGCGGGAGATACAAGCTCAGGTGAACAGTCTCCAGTGAAGTCCTCAAAACAGAATAGTGTGGATAATTTCACTAAGTATTTGATTAAAAAGGAGCTACTGAGCAATGGACTAATTAAATTTGATGATTCCCTAATGAATTATAGATCGTGGAAGGCTTCATTTACCGGTGTAATCAAGGAATTGGAACTGGTTCAAAGGGAAGAGCTAGACCTACTAACCAGATGGCTTGGAAATGAGTCACAAGGTCATGCAAAACGAATCAGAGCAGTGCATGTGTCAAACACGAAAGCTGGCCTGAAGGCATTATGGGAACGCCTAGATGGAGCGCCTGAAATACTGGAAAAGTCATTGATGAACCGAATAGAAAGTTTCCATAACCTGAGCATTAATGAAAACGCCAGACTGCAAGATCTTGGGAATTTATTAAAGGAAATTCAGGGAGCACGAGATGATAGAACTTTGCCAGGCCTAGATTATTTGGATACTTTGAAGGGCATTAGTAACATCGTAAATAAGTTGCCGTACTTATTGCAAGAGAAGTGTCGTACGAAAGGTGCACTGTACAAAAAGGAGAAGGGTGTCAAATTTCCACCGTTCAGTATTTTTGTAGAATTGGTAAGTCAGCAGTCAAAGATTAGGAATGACCCTAGTTTTGCATCACCACAATCCCAGGCTAACACCCGTAAACCGGCAGCTCGATCTTTCAACACATCTGCTAAAGTGGAAAAAAAACATGGATGTCAAGCATGCGGAGAAAATCACAGCATATGTACCTGCAAGTTGTTTAAAGAGATGAGCAATGAAGAAAAGCAAGCGCTTGTAAGGACAAAGAGGCTGTGCAATGGTTGCTTAAAAAGAGGACATATATGGAGAGAATGCCGAAATAAAAGCATATGTGAGATATGCCAAGGGAAACATCCTACTGTTTTGCATGTACATATACGCAATCCAACATCAACAAGCAACGCACCTCAGACAGTATCATCATTCAGAGCAGAATCAAGAGATGATGCCATGTTACATTGTAACTCATTAATAATCCCAGTGTGGGTGAAGACCAGAGGAAACCCTGAAAGGAAGTTGCTAACATACGCATTGCTACACAACCAGTCGGATGCTTGTTTCATCACTAGTTCTCTAAAGAATAAGCTATCGGCATCTGGGCCAACAGTCATCTTACAGATCTCAACTATTTTAGAAGAAGAGACTGTGAGTTGTGAACGGATTGATCATCACGGGCAGGCAACAGAAGAAAATTATAGAGCTTCCATGCTCTTATACCAGAACAAATATTCCAGTTACTCAGTCCCAAATTCCCACTCCAGAGTCAACTAATGGCTGGGCAGACTTGCAAATCAGTGAAAAAGTTCTTGATGCCATACAATGGTGCTATAGAAGTTGGGCTATTGATAGGTGCTAATTGTGCCAGAGCCCTGAAGCCAAGAGAGGTGGTGCCAGGCCAAGATGATGACCCTTATGCCATAAAGACATCATTAGGCTGGGGAATAATCGGGTAAATTGGAGGTAGAAAGGAGTGCAAACTTGGACATGTTGTTTACAGAACCACTACTAATGAAGTACTCTCTATGTTCGAGGCTGATTTTGTTGAGAGAGAAGCTGAACCAATGTCAGTCAATGACCGGAAATTTATAGAGGTCATGGATAAAGGAGTTGAGTTTGTTGACGGACATTTCCAGTTCCCATTGCCATTCCGACAGGAGGCTTGCTTATCAGATAACAATTAGCTAGCAATAATAAGACTTGATCAGCTGATACACAAGTTGAAGAGGAATACAAAATTCAGAAATGATTATGTTACATTCACGAATGGTATGCTGTCTAACTATGCGGAAGGAGTGCCAGATCACCAACTTGCCCCTGCTCCTTACCACCCAAGAAAACCAAACAAAATAAGAGTAGTGTTTGATTGCGCAGCTCGTTACAAGGGATCCTCACTGAATGATTACCTTCTTCAAGGTCCAAATCTGACGAACAGTTTGTTGGGTGTCCTATTGAAGTTCAGGGTGGAACCGATTGCAATCGTTGGAGACATCGAAGAGATGTTCAATCAGGTTCTAGTTCGACCTTGTGATAGAGATTTCTTGAGATTTCTATGGTGGGAGGATGGTAATCTAAGCTCAGCACCCAAGGAATACAGGATGAAGGTTCACATTTTTGGGGCAGCATCATCTCCCTGAGTAGCAAATTATGCCTTAAAAAAGGCTGCAGATGTGTATGAAAGCAAGTATGGATCTGATGCAGCAGACTTTGTGAGAAACCATTTTTATGTAGATGATGGCTTAATATCGGTGTGCACAGTTGAGGAAGGTGTTAGTCTCGCTAAGCGAACAATAGAGCTGTGCAAGGATGCAGGATTTCGCTTGCATAAATTTGTGGCAAACAATGCAGATGTGTTAAAATCGTTGCCAAGCAGTTCAGTGGCTGATGGGTGCAAACAGTGGAGCACATTTCCTACAGAACGAACCCTGGGTATACTCTGGGATGCTGGTTCAGATGCCTTTCAATTTAGTTCCTGTGTTCGAGAACGCCCTTCCACTCGTAGAGGTGTCTTATCTAGGGTGAGCTCAATTTTTGACCCTCTAGGGTTTCTTTCACCATATGTTTTGGATGGCAAGAAGATACTGCAACATCTGTGTACCAATGAATCTAATTGGGATCAACCAATTCCAACAAGTGTCGAGCAGAAGTGGAAGCAGTGGAAAGATCAACTTAAATATTTAAATAATGTCCGGATTGATAGGTGTTACAAGCCAAACCTAAGGGAACCATTGTCCATTAAGTCTGCTGAACTGCCTCATTTTTGTGACGCAAGTGTGGATGGGTATGGTGAATGTTCATATTTGAGACATGTTGACAATAATAACCACGTGAAATGCTCCTTAGTGATGAGTAAAGCCAGAGTGGGGCCCAGGAAACCAACAACAATCCCTAGAATGGAACATGTTGCTGCTACAGTGTCAGTCAAGATCGCTACAATTTTGAGAAGGGAACTGAGTTGCTACAAGAACTTAAAGGAGCATTTTTGGACTGACAGTAAGGTCGTTTTAGGCTACATAGCTAATGATGCTAAGCGCTTCCATACCTTTGTAGCAAACAGGGTCCAGCTAATACGTAATAGCAATGAATTAAGACAGTGGCATTACATTGGCACCAAAGATAACCCTGCTGATATTGCTTCCCGTGGCATGGAAGTTGAAAAACTAATAACATCAGAAATATGGTGGAATGGTCCTAAGTTCTTATCTGACCCTGTTTACATGGTAAAAGAGGTGAATGGGCTTTCAATTTCCAATGAAGATAAAGAAGTCAGAAGAGTTAATGTTTTTGCTATGCAATTGACCCCAGTATTTCCAGAATATATAACGACTGTCCTTTAGAAATTGTCAAGTTGGAACAAAGCCAAGAGAATATTTGCGCTGTGCCTCATCTTCATTTATAAGTTAAAGGGTGGTAAACTTTCAGGCAATATTATGGTTGAAGATATGAGTCAAGCTGAGAAGTTGCTGATAAGGGCAGCTCAGCAGTGCCTATCCAAATTGGACCAAGTTGACCAAGCTAGACCCAGTGAGGGATGAAGATGGTCTGCTGAAGGTTGGTGGGCGCCTGAGGAAGTCGGACCTTTCTATAAATCTTAAACATCCTGTAATCTTGCCTGCCAAATGTGAAGTTACCAGGTTGCTGGTCAATCATTACCATCAAAAGGTTCACCATCAAGGGCGTGGCATAACGCACAACAGAATAAGGTCAGTTGGCTTTTGGATAGTGGGTGGTATGTCCGCAGTATCAAGATAAATATATGGATGTAAAATGTGTCGTAGAATGCGAAGACAACCTAGTTGTCAAAAGATGGCTGATCTCCCAGAAGACAGACTACATCCAGTTCCTCCATTCTGCTACTGTGGAGTTGACTATTTTAGCCCTTGGATCGTGAAATGTGGACGTAGAGAGATTAAGCGGTACGGAGTGCTCTTTACTTGCACGGCCTCGAGGGCAATTCATCTAGAAGTTTCACATTCCCTTTCAACAGATTCATTCATAAATGTCTTCAGACGCTTCATAGCAAGACGAGGACCAGTTAGACAGGTACGCTCAGATCAAGGTACAAATTTTATTGGAGCCATAAAGGAGTTGCGAGAGACACTACAAGAAATGGACCAGGATGTAGTAAAGGCTGAAATGTTAAAGTTGAACTGTAATTGGATCTTAAATCCACCATGTGCTATTCACATGGGTGGGGTTTGGGAACGGATGACTAGGAGTACCCACTATTTATACATAAGGGTTTGTTTGATGACGAGATGTTACATACTTTCATGGTTGAAGCAGAGGCAATTGTGAATAGCAGACCATTGACCAGTTTGAATGAAGCTTCTATGGAGCCATTACGCCAAGCCATCTGCTCACTGCCAAGGCAAGTGTAGTGTTGCCACCGCCAGGAAAGTTTACACATACCGACCAGTACTGTAGCAGAAGGTGGCGTAGAGTTCAACATCTGGTAGAGGAATTTTGGAATAGGTGGAGAAAGGAATATGTGTCTAATCTACAAAGCAGAAGGGTACACCAATTAATACAAAAAAAAATATATAGAATACATTTGTTTTTTTTTTGCTCGGATATTTATTTTTTATTGTCCCTAATCTCTAATTTGTCGTGATCTCCAGAACGTGCCATCCGCCATCGGATCGTGCGCGCCAATCTGGCGGAAAGTTTGCGAACACGACGACGTGCGGCACGAATTCGAAGAATTTGGTCGGGGCGAAACGTTCCGCACCGAAAGCCAGACCGTTCTTGATACCTTCCAGCACTTCGTAATCGACGCGTCTCCTCTGGCGGCGGTCGAGATCGAACACAGCTATCCTCTGACCCCCATACCCGTACGTGTCCTCGTGCGTCTCGCATGAACGAAAGACTATCGCGTTCTCGACCGCCGCAAGGTGTGTAGCCATGAAACTCTTCCCGGAATCACCGTTCGGATCGTAACACCAAATGATCGCTCTCGGATGCGGCCGCTTCCTAAGGTGC